GTAATTTCAAACTCATTAAGCAACCAAGTTTTTATAGTTTATTAGCAGTTTTTTTACTTCTTTCTTATAGTTCACACTTTTTTAATTGCCTAAGAAATTCTCTACTACAATCTTGAAACTAAGCCAAGCATTTTTTTCTTCAGCACTCATTGAGTCAATTCAGTATGTAGTAAAAGCTTTCGAATTTCTGGCCCATCCAAATTTTCTTGTTTAAGTTTAGCGTCAGATTTGGTTTGGAACTTCTTATGGATGTACGTAAAAGTGTTTTCCTCATAGTCTAAGGCTTTAACAAATTGCTTGATCAAGCCGAGCTTTATGTGGAATGGAGAAAGAAGTACTGTTGTGGGTGGTACTAGAGTATTGTTCAGAATATTTTCTGAGTCAGGAAGTAAAGAGGCTTCAGCAGTCCATTTGTAGTTTGTGTGATGCTTTTCACGATCTTGACTATTCCAAAGGCATAAAAAGCAAGGATGCTTTGTAAAATTACTTTGCTGGCCGAGAAGAATCGTAAAAATCTGTAAATCTCCGCAAATTTGTCACTTATGTTCCGTATATTTTATTTTCTTCAGTACCAGCTTGAACGACTAGTGCTTTTCATTTATATTTATAGAATAGCCTATTAGTATTGAAGCTAACTCACTGGTATTGTATAGAAGAACTATTTTAAAGCTGCAGTTGGATGAGTCGATTCAAAGCCCTCATGCTTTACTCTTGTAAGTGTTTGGTTTTAAAACATTTATAAGACCTTGCATATCTTTGCAGTAGATAAAAGATTTTTCTTTCTTGAAAAGAGGATGAAAGTCTTCTTACTGATTCCGGAAAATTATAGCACGTGTACATTCATCTAAACGTCCATCATTTTTGAGATTTGACGCAAGATATTCTGCAGCATCATTTGCTAAACCCAAGTCCTTTATCCCATGCATTTATTGGTTGATCTTTAAAACAACAATCGTTATCAGAATTTGTATCAGAGACACTTTTAATACTGGTAGAATTTTCAGTTAGCTTATCGACATCCATTTGGTTTTCATCTTCAATTATGTTACTCGTGGAATTCATTTCAATATGACTGGCCGAAAGTACATCGATATCATTATGCATTGGTGGAGTAAATAATGAAGTATTTTTATGCACAGCATGATTTGAAGTGAGCATACCTTGAACTCAACCATGCAGATATGGCAATCTGCTTGAATTTCGGGATCTATTACACAGCAGGAAATTTCATAGAATTCTTAGTTTTTTTAAATGGATGATGAACAATTAAATGTATTTCTACATTTACGACAGATACTGTTTGGTACCAACATGTCACTTTTATAACTTGCAACCTGTAATAAAAAAACAGAATTATATGTATCGTTATATTGTGATAAAAGCCCACGAAGTTTTTGCTATTTAAACTTACCGCATACGTAAGAGAACATAGGATTGTCCTTGTTGCTAGTGTCAATAAAAGAATCTGAAATGTTTATATCATATTTCATACATGTACTCATTGTGTCATTGCTTGGCCCATCATTAGAAGCTGCTCCAAGTTCTACATCGCAACAACTCAAAACAACTTTAGAATTTATTTTCCTTTTTAAAACATGAAGCTTAAAGGTAGCCGAGTTGCTCACTACTTCAGAGGTGCGTTTGCCAGATGCCAACACCTGCGGGCTCGCTTGGTCAGCGAGACCAACCGCCTATTCCTTTTCTGCATCGTAAACTCCTGCACCATACTTTTGCCATATAGGACTATTTTTTACCTAAGAACTTAGCCAGTGAAACTGTTATCCGCAAAATCTTCGAAAACTCAATGTTTAATTTTTTTTTAATTAGTTTGGATTAAAAGAGCTAGTCTTTCCACGTTGGTATAGCGAGTTTGGAAGATATGTTTTTTTTTCTTGTGGTGCAACTAAAAAAACAAAAGAAAGCACCGTGCCTTGGCCTGAGCTCCTCAATTCGTAAAGGCCGCGCCGCAGTTCGATACAGCATACCTGCGCCTTGTTAACACAAATGTTTGCTGTATTTTCAAAGTATAAACAAGATATCTCAGACCGGAAGATGGAAGCATAGTGTTTGAAAGTTAAACAAATATACTATGTTATAGTTCTATACTGAGCTTAACGAGCTTTCTACCTACATGACCAGCATATGTTGTGATACTTTGATATTCTAAAAATATCTGTTATAAAAAAGCAGTACAGATTTTTATTACCTTACTACTGTGCATTCTATGCTGAAAATTATTATCATGGTATTAAAAAACAACACACAAAAAATTGATTTATATAGCTATGATAATCTGTATTTTTACTACTGTAATATTGTAAGTTAGTAACTATTAAAATAACGATTGTTCTTTCAATAGTCATCAATGAATTTAGTTTTATTTATTCAACTATAATAGTTATTGCGATTATTAGCATCACTACAGGCATTTTTATTACAATTACTTGTTTTTAAAGCATTTATAACTAAAATTTTCTGAATAAGAATAAAGTATATTTATGATACTTTGTTTTTTTTCTCATTTACAAAAAGAGATAAGTACATGGGAGGTTTAATCAACAAAAATAACGAAACTGTATACTTGTCATTTATAGAAATAAACTTTATAGTATACAATTTAGAGATTCTATATTAAGTAATCAAAAGTATCCAAGTCGAGCTAAAGGGAACAACCGATATTTCAATTTGTTTTTTCGATTACTTGAAAAGAAAAAAAAATATATCCTGCTAAATCTTTATACCGACTTAAAAAGATCAGTTTNATGTAGTACTAAGTGAGTGAATAACGATGAGCTATAGCAACCCTATGAGACCGGTGGCAATGCATTTTTCTACTTCGGGCACGATGAAACTCATGTCAATGTGTAGGTCGTGGCGCATACTTAACAATAATGGAGTTTTTGTCATATAGCCCTTTTTTCTTTTTTTGTAATTTTGGAGGATGTGTTGACATTTTTTCAGAAAAGTGATTAATGCATCTGAATAATGAGAAAAAATCGCATCAAAAACATGTATTGAGTATTAGCAAAAAAAAAGTATTTTATTAGCATCTCAGCCAGCTTAAAAGTAAGCTCATTTTGCATTCGCATGACGCGCTTGGAGAGTTGACGTGAAACGCTCCATTTGTATTAGGATACATGAATTTTACTGACGCACATTGACATTAAAAACATATAAAGCAAAGTTGTTTAAAGAAAAATAGTTGGTATTGTATTTCTATTTCAAGCACTATTGCAAATAAATAGTACATTCAAAATTTAATCTGGGGGCCATAGTGTAAGAACACTTCTCGGATTGTTAAATTGTTCCTTGTTTATTTGACCCCCAAAATGACCTTAAAGGCCAATTTTTATGATTAAATTAAAAAGATCGTACCTTTATAAATAAATATAGACTTTTACATTAACACATTTTACCTCCACACGCACATACAAGTCGGGGATATTGACCGAGTCATTCATGGCAGAATCACTCATTTATGATTTAGGTAATGCTTTAGTTATAAGAAATTTAGAGCACAACGATTATTATGCATTACTATTATCTAATTACAAACAAGTTTTCACGTCAACGACTAGCGTTTTTTTCCTTAGAGATATCTACTTAAATCAGCATTAAATCTATTTTCAAATCCAGGTAGTTTTTGATTTCCAAACTTTTAATAAAGTTAATTCATCTAAATTCAAATAGTTTATAAAATATATGTAGTTTTTAATACAGTTTCTTCTAAACTTTTCAGTTAAAAATTTATAGCTATTTTTTCTCTACACTATTAATTTATTTATATGATTCGTCCACATATTACATTGACTGTGATAAGCGTCATCATAAAAAAAACATGAACTAGCTACGAAACCGAGCTTTCGACTGTCATGAGATTTAGAAAAAATAATTATTGAATTTTTTTGTATCAACGTTAAAATGAAGCTGCAGGCTGAAATAGTTAACCTAAATTTAAATAATCTGCTAGATCACAAATAGCTTGAGCTTATTATTTTACGTACATGTATTTGATAAACTCAATGAACTTTTTAAAAATCTAATGCATTTCATGAAAGTTTTTATGATGGATTTTTTTATCTACAAATAACAGACCTCAAGTAGTCGTAGTTTAATACTTGCAAATATGCTCATAAATGACTAAAGCAGTTTGGTACTAAAGCCAGTAACATTGCTGATCGTTACTGTTATGGAACATTGTAGTTCTTTAATAAGACTGTGTTTTCATTGTAACAATCATTTTTCTACTACAGAAACTGAAAGCGTACTTCTGTGTTCATTTAAAACAAAAGACTCATGTCATTCATTATTTTGATGACGTTGAGTTTTGATTTATGGGACAGTCAGTCAATCAATTTAAAAGCTTAAGTCAAGTGAACTCTTAGGTTTGCATTATAAATTTATAAACTACAAAAGAAATTTTCAGGTTAGGTTGGGTAGCTTTGATGAAAGGCTCAACCTAAGAAACTATAGAACTAATAAGTTTGAATGTTAAGAGATACACAATTTTGTAGTTAAAGTCGAATGAGGTATGGTGTTCACATGATTGACCTCCAACATTTTTTGGGTTAGGTTATCCAATTTCACAAAAGTAAGACTGAAATTTTAATCAGTAAACCAGAAAATATACAGAAGACTTTGTGTGGTATTCTATGTATGAAAAAAAAAATTTAGTTGTCCTGTGAGATTGAGGTATTGAATAGAAAATTTTTTCTATGTAACTCTGATAAAAGTTTAATTTATTAATAAAACCAAATTATAAAAATAGTATTCATACTTTAGTGAAGAAGTTAAATTGAAAAAAAAAATTCTTCCACCGCAATGGGTCGGGACCTGTTTAGTAGTAAAAATATCTAATTAGTCAAAAGAATTGTAGGAGGTTTAAAAATTTGCCGACTGAATTTCATAACCATACCATAAATTTATAAGTAACATTACACTTTCATCTTTTAACATACTTTTATGTGTTTACAAATTGTAATACAAAGACTTTTTTTCAGACTCTTTTGATACCATCATCTTTATACTCAAAAACGGATGACGATACTAAAATTGATGTGATTAATGTCTTAGTATCACCCTGTGCAGCCCATCTTGGATATTTTTAACCATTATGATTTTACCCAATTTGAGTTGGAACATTGCAGTAAAACTTCCATTTGGTCTTCATCAGTACTTATAATTACAAATATTTAATTTGTGGCTTTTACCGTTAAAGTTATTGAGTTATGATGTATTATGAACTAGATTATCACACCAAAAATATTGCATATGTAAACATAAACTATATTAAACATAGAACCAATAAAATTTTTATCGGAAGTATTTATTAATTATATTCGTAAACCAAACTTATATTTTTCACAATTCAGTATGGTAAATTCATTTTTGTATTCTTCTTTTCTGTTTGTATAATACTTTTAATATTTGTAAGAAAGACTCGATTTGTTAGATCACGGTAAAGTTTGAGTAACAAACTTTTTTACTTTTAAAAACGCTTCATGACATATTATTTACGTATTAATATTAAAATTTATAACTTGTCAAAAAACCTTTTTACAGTTTTGGTTTTAATTTGAAAATTAATGTATGTATACAAGGTATGTTAATTTTAATATCTGATTTGTAAAGCTAGCGCTTGTTGTACATGTATTTTCTATATTTAAGAATAATATTAATAACTCTCTCTAAAGTATGTAGTTCGGGAAACGATGGCAAAATGACTTATCGTATTTCGGGCACGACCTAACTTTGACAGAATGTAGTACTAAGTGAGTGAATAACGATGAGCTATAGCAACCCTATGAGACCGGTGGCAATGCATTTTTCTACTTCGGGCACGATGAAACTCATGTCAATGTGTAGGTCGTGGCGCATACTTAACGAAAAAACTGGGTTGTCAGACAAATCCGGTGGCAAAGGCCAGGCAACCCACATATGAGTAATTCTTTTACAAATCGAACACCTGTCTGATCGACACCTCTTCGATTTGGCTGAAACTTTTTTTACGGATTCTATGTCGAAAAAAAAGAGATGCGGGTCAGAGGAATTTTGTTTTCTTTTCATATTTTCGATAATAGAAGTGATCGAACATTTGAGAATAGCAATTNTTACAAAAATTATAAGTTTTCATCTATTGCATAATTATTTATCTAATAATAATCAGTAATAAATATCATAAACAGTAAGTTTCAACTTAAAAAAAGTCATAAAAGTTATAATCAGTTATAGATTCTTTTTCATCATCATCATAAATGAAAAAAAAAGTAAATAACTGTTTATAATTAATACTAACACATATTACAAATTATTTAAGTCTCAAATATGGACTGTTTATAATCCTAGTATCAGTTATTATCACTTATTTATGAGAATTATTTCCGCTTGGGTATTATTGAATTTTTCGTCGATATTTCAAGAGCAATTTCATTTTAGTCGCAAAACATAGAAGTTTCTTCAAGTAAAGAATCAGATGCAAAAGTCGCCAGCAGTGAAGGTACCTCTGGACAATCGGGGGAAAATACATCGTTGCTGAATGAACGCGTGGATCATTTCAACAAAGGATTGAGCCTCATAGGATCTTCACCTATTAGTAAAAAAAAAATCACAAAAAAAGGTATTCTGAAGATAAATCAAAAAAAATTGCTTTAGCAATTAAAAAAAAAATTTTTCATTTGTCCCGATGGTCTCGAATGATCTCGAAGATAACGACGACGATGCTTCAATAATTACAACGTTACAAGAAAGTTTTAATACTTCTAATGACAGAACTCATAAAATTAAAATATTAACAATTTTTAGACACTGGTCTTATAAAGTTTTGGTTTTAATTTGAAAATTAATGTATGTATACAAGGTATGTTAATTTTAATATCTGATTTGTAAAGCTAGCGCTTGTTGTACATGTATTTTCTATATTTAAGAATAATATTAATAACTCTCTCTAAAGTATGTAGTTCGGGAAACGATGGCAAAATGACTTATCGTATTTCGGGCACGACCTAACTTTGACAGAATGTAGTACTAAGTGAGTGAATAACGATGAGCTATAGCAACCCTATGAGACCGGTGGCAATGCATTTTTCTACTTCGGGCACGATGAAACTCATGTCAATGTGTAGGTCGTGGCGCATACTTAACGAAAAAACTGGGTTGTCAGACAAATCCGGTGGCAAAGGCCAGGCAACCCACATATGAGTAATTCTTTTACAAATCGAACACCTGTCTGATCGACACCTCTTCGATTTGGCTGAAACTTTTTTTACGGATTCTATGTCGAAAAAAAAGAGATGCGGGTCAGAGGAATTTTGTTTTCTTTTCATATTTTCGATAATAGAAGTGATCGAACATTTGAGAATAGCAATTTTTTTGGCTCGGAGACTTGTTTTCTGAAATTCATAGTTCCAAATCTTTAAGAGCTACAAAATTATCACCAATTGCACTTTTGTAGCTGACGGATGAAACTTTAAGATACGTGTCAGAGGAATTTTGTTTTCTTTGCATATTTTCGATAATAGAAGTGATCGAACATTTGAATATGGCAAGTTTTTTGGCTCGGAGACTTATTTTCTGAAATTCATAGTTACGAATCTTTAAGAGCTACAAAATTATCACCAATTGCACTTTTGTAGCTGACGGATGAAACTTTAAGAAAAAATTTTTTTTTACAAAAAATACTAACAAATTTATATTGTTATTAACAATTTAATTGTTAAAACCGATTTTTAACAAACGCCCCCAAAAAGAATCAAGTTTTTAGTAGTTTCATCGCATTCTCTGTCAAATTTTACGTCAAAAACATGTTTTTAAAATATGGTACCATTCCAATTATTATTGTTAAAATATTAATTTATGTAGCGCGTAACGGCCAAAAAACGATTTTTTGCTAATAAATTGAAATCTGTTCATCGTATAAAAAAAAGTTAAATGTAAAAGTTGTAGATAATTGACAGATCTACAACTTTTGTAAAAAATTTTTTTTGACATAACCTCAAAATTTCAAATTAAATTGCAAAAAATGTAAAAAATCAGCTT